CCTCCCCTCTTCACCCTTCTTTGCTTTGTTCTCCTTTCTCTTCCCCATGTTTCCTTTTTTGAGACAGAGTCTCGCCCTGTGGCCCAGGCTGGAGCGCAGTGGTGTGATCTCAGCTCACTGCAACCTCCGCGTCCCGGGTTCAAGCGATTCTCCCGCCTCAGCACCCCCAGTAGCTGGGATGACAGGCGCCCACAACCACGCCCCGCTAATTTTTGGATTTTTAGTAGAGACGGGGTTTCGCCAGGTTGGCCAGGCTGGTCTCGAACTCCTGACCTCAGGGGATCCGCCCGCCTCAGCCTCCCAGAGTGCTGGGGTGACAGGCGTGAGCCCCCTCGCCCGGCCCACAGGCTAACCTTCTAAGCCTGGGAATCATGCTCTCTGCTAAACTATGAGCACGTCGCATGAGGTGTGTGATTGTGTGGTCTGCGGTGTGTGACGTTTCTGTGCACTCAAGCTGGGCTGGACATCCAGAGACTGGAGAGCTCACCCACCTCCAGCCACACGCAGAGTTCACCTTCACCGTGGACCAGCTTCCCAGACCAAGGGACCCAGCTGCTGGGCATTATCCTCGTGACACCACAAACACCTGGATGATAACACGCTGGATAGACGGCTCCCCAGTTTAAGATTGTAAGGGCCGGGATCACCTGAGGTCGGGAGTTCGAGACCAGCCTGACCAATATGGTGAAACCCCGTCTTAAAAAAAAAAAAAATATGTAGAGGGCTGGGTACATTCACTCACGCCTGAAATCCCAGCACTCTGGGAGGCCGAGGCAGGTGGATCACCTGAGGTCGGGAGTTCGAGACCAGCCTGACCAATATGGTGAAACCCCGTCTTAAAAAAAAAAAAAATATGTAGAGGGCTGGGTACATTCACTCACGCCTGAAATCCCAGCACTCTGGGAGGCCGAGGCAGGTGGATCACCTGAGGTCGGGAGTTCGAGACCAGCCTGACCAATATGGTGAAACCCCGTCTTAAAAAAAAAAAAAATATGTAGAGGGCTGGGTACATTCACTCACGCCTGAAATCCCAGCACTCTGGGAGGCCGAGGCAGGTGGATCACCTGAGGTCGGGAGTTCGAGACCAGCCTGACCAATATGGTGAAACCCCGTCTTAAAAAAAAAAAAAATATGTAGAGGGCTGGGTACATTCACTCACGCCTGAAATCCCAGCACTCTGGGAGGCCGAGGCAGGTGGATCACCTGAGGTCGGGAGTTCGAGACCAGCCTGACCAATATGGTGAAACCCCGTCTTAAAAAAAAAAAAAATATGTAGAGGGCTGGGTACATTCACTCACGCCTGAAATCCCAGCACTCTGGGAGGCCGAGGCAGGTGGATCACCTGAGGTCGGGAGTTCGAGACCAGCCTGACCAATATGGTGAAACCCCGTCTTAAAAAAAAAAAAAATATGTAGAGGGCTGGGTACATTCACTCACGCCTGAAATCCCAGCACTCTGGGAGGCCGAGGCAGGTGGATCACCTGAGGTCGGGAGTTCGAGACCAGCCTGACCAATATGGTGAAACCCCGTCTTAAAAAAAAAAAAAATATGTAGAGGGCTGGGTACATTCACTCACGCCTGAAATCCCAGCACTCTGGGAGGCCGAGGCAGGTGGATCACCTGAGGTCGGGAGTTCGAGACCAGCCTGACCAATATGGTGAAACCCCGTCTTAAAAAAAAAAAAAATATGTAGAGGGCTGGGTACATTCACTCACGCCTGAAATCCCAGCACTCTGGGAGGCCGAGGCAGGTGGATCACCTGAGGTCGGGAGTTCGAGACCAGCCTGACCAATATGGTGAAACCCCGTCTTAAAAAAAAAAAAAATATGTAGAGGGCTGGGTACATTCACTCACGCCTGAAATCCCAGCACTCTGGGAGGCCGAGGCAGGTGGATCACCTGAGGTCGGGAGTTCGAGACCAGCCTGACCAATATGGTGAAACCCCGTCTTAAAAAAAAAAAAAATATGTAGAGGGCTGGGTACATTCACTCACGCCTGAAATCCCAGCACTCTGGGAGGCCGAGGCAGGTGGATCACCTGAGGTCGGGAGTTCGAGACCAGCCTGACCAATATGGTGAAACCCCGTCTTAAAAAAAAAAAAAATATGTAGAGGGCTGGGTACATTCACTCACGCCTGAAATCCCAGCACTCTGGGAGGCCGAGGCAGGTGGATCACCTGAGGTCGGGAGTTCGAGACCAGCCTGACCAATATGGTGAAACCCCGTCTTAAAAAAAAAAAAAATATGTAGAGGGCTGGGTACATTCACTCACGCCTGAAATCCCAGCACTCTGGGAGGCCGAGGCAGGTGGATCACCTGAGGTCGGGAGTTCGAGACCAGCCTGACCAATATGGTGAAACCCCGTCTTAAAAAAAAAAAAAATATGTAGAGGGCTGGGTACATTCACTCACGCCTGAAATCCCAGCACTCTGGGAGGCCGAGGCAGGTGGATCACCTGAGGTCGGGAGTTCGAGACCAGCCTGACCAATATGGTGAAACCCCGTCTTAAAAAAAAAAAAAATATGTAGAGGGCTGGGTACATTCACTCACGCCTGAAATCCCAGCACTCTGGGAGGCCGAGGCAGGTGGATCACCTGAGGTCGGGAGTTCGAGACCAGCCTGACCAATATGGTGAAACCCCGTCTTAAAAAAAAAAAAAATATGTAGAGGGCTGGGTACATTCACTCACGCCTGAAATCCCAGCACTCTGGGAGGCCGAGGCAGGTGGATCACCTGAGGTCGGGAGTTCGAGACCAGCCTGACCAATATGGTGAAACCCCGTCTTAAAAAAAAAAAAAATATGTAGAGGGCTGGGTACATTCACTCACGCCTGAAATCCCAGCACTCTGGGAGGCCGAGGCAGGTGGATCACCTGAGGTCGGGAGTTCGAGACCAGCCTGACCAATATGGTGAAACCCCGTCTTAAAAAAAAAAAAAATATGTAGAGGGCTGGGTACATTCACTCACGCCTGAAATCCCAGCACTCTGGGAGGCCGAGGCAGGTGGATCACCTGAGGTCGGGAGTTCGAGACCAGCCTGACCAATATGGTGAAACCCCGTCTTAAAAAAAAAAAAAATATGTAGAGGGCTGGGTACATTCACTCACGCCTGAAATCCCAGCACTCTGGGAGGCCGAGGCAGGTGGATCACCTGAGGTCGGGAGTTCGAGACCAGCCTGACCAATATGGTGAAACCCCGTCTTAAAAAAAAAAAAAATATGTAGAGGGCTGGGTACATTCACTCACGCCTGAAATCCCAGCACTCTGGGAGGCCGAGGCAGGTGGATCACCTGAGGTCGGGAGTTCGAGACCAGCCTGACCAATATGGTGAAACCCCGTCTTAAAAAAAAAAAAAATATGTAGAGGGCTGGGTACATTCACTCACGCCTGAAATCCCAGCACTCTGGGAGGCCGAGGCAGGTGGATCACCTGAGGTCGGGAGTTCGAGACCAGCCTGACCAA